CACAAGAGCGGGCAGGCGCCCCCCCCCCCCCCCCCCCCCCCCAACCCTACACACACACACACACACACACACCACTCCTGACGCTAGCAGTGCCGTTTCATGCTAACAACGTACCCTGTCGTTCCTGAACTCACACCGTGTGGGCTCCAGCGTCCCTTTGGGACACTTGGTGGCCTTTAGGTAGAAGTGGTGGTAGATGTAGATCACGTTGAAGCCCGACTGAGGAGGAAGAGGAAGAAGAGGAGGAGGAGGTTAGTGATGAAGGACAAGAACTTCTCCTGAGAGTATGAGTGAAGTCATCTCTCGGCTGTGGGTCTACTCACCTCGATGTCAGACTTGAGGATGCTCCTGAAGTAGAGGAAATGGTGCTGGATGCCAGCGTGAGCGCCGAGCTGCTCCAGTGCCAGGTCCACTCCTCTCTGGTAGCTCCCCGGGAGTTCACTGTACGCCTCCCTGGCCTCAGAGGTGAGGAGCAGAGCTCCCAGGTTGAGCAGCAGCAGCAGCAGCAGACGTGCAGCCATCTTCTTCTTCTTCGTCTTCTTCCTCTCTGTGTTGGTCTGGAACAGTTCTGATCCCCTCCCCCTCACATCACCCCCCTTCCTCTAAAGGAGGCTTTCCAGGTCAGAACATCCAGCCCTCTTTCCAAGCAGGAAAACATGGCATGTTTTTTTAACAGAGTCCTGCCTCAGGTTGTTTATGTTTTTCACTTCCTTAATCCTCAGAAAAGTTTTTTAGTTTTTTTTCTTCCAGTGTTTTAGGAATGAAAGGAAGAAACAAACAAAGAACAGACACAAATACATAAACATGTCTAATTTAGAATTTAAAAATAGACTTTAAAATGTCTAAATATTTTTTTTTACTGTGATTCAGTCAGTAGTGTTTAGCCTAAAATGCTTATATGTTATTTTACACTACTTGCCTCAGCCAAACATTTTTGAAACATGTCTAATTTAGAATTTAAAAATATTAAAAAAATATTTTACTGTGATTCAGTCAGTAGTGTTAGCCTAAAATGCTTATATGTTATTTTACACTACTTGCCTCAGCCAAATATTTTTGACGCTATAAGTTCACGAAATCTTTAGCTCTAAGCAACAATTTTTTTTCTTAACTTCTCACTCATTTGAGCCACAGTACGTCAGTTTTTAGGTCGTCGGCCCTCTAGTGGCAGCCCACGGAATAGACGTGGACCACGAGCCGCCTATTTGTAGTCAGCGCGTAAACAACGTTTTAAAACTTCTCTTTCATTCAACAATAAGGAAACCCAACAGTGACACCAACAGGTAGGTTTGGGAAACACCAGGGCAGAACCAGGATAAATAGAAAATAGCTTTTATTTCTCATCAATATTTGAACCATTAATATACACGGGAGCGTCAGCAAAGCCCGAGGATCTGGACTCTGTATTGCTTCTGAAATGGATCATGACATTTGACCACGTCCACGACAACAAACACTGGGACGAAAACACTGGGACAAAACCTTCACTTCATCCACAGGCACAAAGGATAAAAAGCCACGACCTCCTCCGTCAACTGTGTGTGTGTGTGTGTGTGTGTGTGTGTGTGTTCCTCACATCTTTGACACCTCCTGTCACTACAGCAATAAGAACAGCATTTTATTGGGGGTGGGTGTGTGTGTGGGGGGGGTCTCTTTGCTCCATGGTCCCTTCAGGCACTTGAGAGTTTTGTGCAACGTTGTGCTACCAGACAGGAAGAGGGCGCTGCGACCACTGTCCAGTCAGAACAACCTGCTCTGAATGTGGAAGCTGTAACTCTAAGATGTAGGAAACACGGAAGAAAAGGTCGTGGGGTCGCAGCCCCGACACCAGGCACCAAATGAGACAAACAGTTCGGAGGCGGGGAAGGAAACGTAACAGACGACCGAAACCTTCACGTCACATCACGCTACAGCACGAACATAAAAAACACACCAAATCGTATATTTAACGATATATATTAAACATTAAAAGCGTCTTCCTCTACGTCGAGCGTCAGCAGTGAGATTTTCTACAGGTGTACGCTGTGGACGAAAGGTCGTAAGGTCGACCCGAGGTCAGCGGTTTTAGTAGGATTCTGGAAGAGCCTGCGATTAGTTTGTAGCAGGAGGAGGAATGTTACGTTTCTGTTGGATGAATGACTGGACTGAACGTCAGCTTATTGACAAAAATATTTACAGCAGTTTGGTGAGAAAGGACGAAGGACCACATGGATTTTTTTTTCCTCAAGAAAACATGGAATCTGATTGGTTTTAGTCTCAAAAGTGTGACTTTTCCATGTGAGTTTTAGACTTTACTGGTCAAAAATAAAAAAAAAACATTTTATGTCTCAATTAATATAATGGGTTAAATCATGTTGTGACATTAAACATGAATTTAACATGTTTTTTTTTAAAAAATCCATGTGGCCTCCACCCCCCTCCTTTCTATTTTGGCACAAAAATCCATGTGGCCTCCACCCCCTCCTTTCTATTTTGGCACTATTTTGGACAAAGACAGGGTGAAGAAGAATATTCCAGAACCAACCCAGACCAGTGAGAGCTCAGGACAAGTCAGAGCAGAGAATTAGTGACTAAAGAATGTGCGTGATTAACCACAGTTATTACCAACACACACGCACACACACACACGTGACATTAGTGTAACATGAAACTTCATCTTCATTCACCGTTTGATTTCATTATCGCCAAATGAATATGTTACCCTCTGCTGGTGATTTGACGCAATTACACCTGCAGGCGACGGAACTATATCTACAGCATTTAAAAATAAGAAATCCAAAGAATCTGCAGCTACAGACAGAGGACCAACTAAGAAAAGAAGAAGAAAACAAAAAAAAAAGGAGATAAAAATGATGCCATAAAATACAGTCGTCGATCGGATTTGGTGTTTTCTTCTTTTCTAAAAACAAAAAGTGCTATGAGCTTCATTCAGGAGGCGGTCGCAGTAAAGTGATGTCTACAGTCAGACAGGATGTCCTTCATAAGGCGCTTGGTGAGCTTAAAAAAACAAAAACGCTACAAACTAGAACAGCAAGAACTAGAGTTTGATAATAACAATAACAATAATATTATAAAGGAATGTATTCCCAAATATCCTCCACATATTCAATGTGAATGAGAGCAACATTTCAGGGCTAAAATTAACAAATGTATCTACTGTTCATGAATTCATTTTAGAATGCAGCATCATGTCATTGGATTTTGGAATATTTTTCCCCCTGAAACACGTGTTTAAGTTTAAGTCCTTCAACAATATTAAATAGTGAGAGTTTTGAGCCCAGAACCTCCAGAACACACCTCGGACCGCAGGCCGGCGGTGAACAGCTGATGTGGCGTCAGGTTTCTGCGGCGAGCGTTTCACTGTGTATTCCAGATGCGGGCGGTGATGCAGCGAGTGATGTCAGTGTCTGGCCAGCAGAGGCAGCAGAGATGGAGCTGATGTTACACGGGCATGTGCATCTCAGAATACTCATCGTGACCGTCGCGCTCATCGAACTTTGGCTCGGCATCGTCCCCGTCCAACTAGGGGAGACACAGAGACATGTAAGGAGCATTCTGGGTAATTTACATGTTAGCTTTCTCTCTCTCTATGTCAGCATAAAAATATATTTATTATATATATATATATACTGTACGTATAATATATACGTATATATCACAAGACTAAACATTTTAGGCAACTGTCATGGTAATAAATAACCGCAATCGCGCCCTCTTGTGGCCAACTTACACATGCCATCTCTCTGACTGTGAAGATACGGGGCAGCAGGAACATCTTGACAGGAACCGTGAGGATGAGGACGAAGGGAAAAGCCAGAGAGGCCTGCGTGGACATGACGGACCACAGGACGGCCAAACACACCACCTGGATACAGGTGAAGAGATGCATGCGCAGCGTTCGCACCTGGAGAAACAACAAAACACACACGGGTAAGAAAAGGTAAAAACGTAGGGTAGAAAACATAATACGATTATTTTTTTCAACTGTCGATAATGAATCCATCAGTGACCCATTACCTTGCGGACATAGGTGTGGTCGGGGTGATATTTAGGAGGCATCAGCAGCAGCATCATCCTGTCTGTCAGCTGGATGCCATTCAGAGACATCACACCCATGTAGAGGAAGATACCAAAGAGGACGGCCAATGGGATCTGACGCAGAAGGTCACCTATTACAATAGACAGGCCTGGAGGGAGACGAGCCCAGAGTCAAGAATAATAAGAATAACAATAATAACAATTTCTTTGTTTATTTTTGACTTTATAAATGTTACACTAAACTAAACTGGATTTGCAAAGTTAAAAAAAGATAAACTAGTAAAGAAAAAACTACAATGACAAAATATGGATTTCTTGTCATTTGGCGCCCTCTATAGGCTAAGTACGGTACTACAGCGGATTATGTCAACAGTATAAAAGCTTTTTATTTTAAAGGTAATGCTCAAATGCTCATATTAACCTTAAACTACGTAAACACGTAGAGTGCTCCAGTTTTTTAGATTTGTATTTTTCAAGTATATTTAATTGGTTTTGGCTAACATTTAGCTACACCCTCGTCTCATATTTAGCTGTCATGCCATGTACTTGTGTGTCAGTCACTCACCGACCATGATGGAGACCAGCAGTCCCGTGACTCTCTGCTCCTTCACCTCCTGGATGCGAGGTTTATCTCCCGGTGCCACGGCTTTGCTCATGACCGTCAGGGCGTTGACGTGAGTCACCGAGCGGACGGTGGCGGCAGCCATCCAGGGCAGCCCGAACAGAGCCGAGGTGCCGCCCAGAACCACGATCAGCAGCAGGTCCAGGTGGAACCCGGAACCTTTGACCAGCTTCCGCTCCTTCTTGCTAACAATCAGGCTGCAGCGCAGGTGAAATTATGAGAAAAAAAAAACATAGAATCATCACTAGGAGTGTATGATGGTGTGTTCTTCTGTAGGGATGTTGCCCCCAGTAGGTGGCAGTAATGCAACTCAGAAGAATACAGCTGGTGTAGAAGAGCAAAAATTGGTGAAATCTTGGTGATTAAAAAAAAATTATAAAAATTATCAATAATATAAACCTTTAAAGTTGAAAAATGCAGATATGACAAACAAAAAAAACTTTTCATTTTATAACATTCAGATTAAAAAAACAAATCTGCACGTCTACTCACGTGGTGATCTGAGTCTCCATGAAGATGAGGATGAAAACCAGCAAGGCCGGAAGACAGCAGGCAAACATCATCCAGATGGGGAAGTTCCCGTTGGTCCCCAGAGGACTAATGAGCCAACCACGTTTGTCCCGACTGGTCACAGAGAAACCTCTGGGAACGCTCAGTTTCTGGAGAAGAAGAAGAAGAAGAGTTCTGAGTTCTGCCACACACTCAGTTTGAGTAGAGTTCCAGTGACGGTACGATCTTTGGTTCTTACTTGCGTGTACGTGTCTTTTATGCTGTAATCCACCAGCACCATGATGAGGATAGCGATTGGAACGCCGAAATCTCCGATGATCCTGCGAAACTAAGAACACGATGGAACAGTGGGAAACGTTATTCTCTCAGTTCAGCTCTGAACAATAATATTCTACTTTTTATTTTCAAAGTCATCTTCATCATGACCAAATAATGACAAAATCACATGTATCTTTGATGAACTATTTACCAGTGACATTGGTTTAAATTTTCACTGTCAAAAGACAAACTAGTTTCTTACCCGTCCAGGAAAGAAGGCGCTGTTTTTGAACTTGCGCAGGTAGAAGGCGATGAAAAACGTCCCGGCCATCAGGACCAGAGAGAGCAGAGCCGTGTTGGGTTCATCTCTGACCTTCGCAGTCCCAGGCACGGAGTTGTTCAGCGCCGGGGTCAGAGCGTCCGTGGCGTTCCCATCTCCTGTGCCGTTCCCTAACGAGCAGCGCCTCAGGGGGTGTTCTTTAAAAATCTGCACCGCGACAAACAAAATAAAATCGGTCACTGCAGAAACAGAAACTAAACATGCAAGCTATCACAAGAACAGTCCCTGGTTCTCAATGTAGGGGGCGAGGGTCAGAGCAAAGATGGACAAAACCAAGACGAAAGTTGGATAATTTAAAATGATCGCAAAATACAGGTGTGGAGCAAAAGTTCAATTTTTTTTGGTCATGTTTGTGACCACCATCAGGATGACGACGCTAACAAAGTTAGCAATTATTGTTAGTTAGCGACCCACATGCGCAGAAGAAGTAGATGAAGTTGCTACGTTTGCTATTTTCTTTTTTTTGTAGGGACAGTTTGAATTTTCTTAAATTTAAAATTTTCTTTCCACTGATTTGTAAATTGATTTATTTTCAGACAAAAATGACCAGAATATCCAAAACGTTCGTTAACCACTGTGTCCACTAATCAGTTCAGGAGTCACATGTTGAACCCCAGTCGGACACCGGTGTCTCAGAGATCAGTCCGTTCTGTTCAGTTCAGTGTCACGACAGTAATCCTGCGGAGAGCAGACTACGGAATGTTGGGTAATTAGAAGTCGGGCGTGTACTGACCCTGCCCAGCTTGATGAAGGTCTCGCAGATGAAGATGAGGGAGATGAGGAAGGAGAAGATCTCCTGGGTGAAGCGGGAGACGAAGCGAACCAGGAAACTGCCTTCAAAGGCCACGGTGAGCATCACGATGACCACGAGCCAGAACCCGATCCAGACTCGTCCGGTCAGGTACTCCATGTCATTGGATTTACAGAACTGTAACGAAAAGACAGTCAACAGACAGTAGAGATTAGATTAGATTAGATTAGATAAACCAAGTCTTTAAACCACAAACTACTGTCACGTATCTGTCCAACCACATGATGAAAATGCACCTACACTGTAAAAGGCTTCTTCAAAGACCAGCAGAGGTCCAGAAAAACCCACGATCAGCAGCGGCTGAGCACCGAGCAAACAGAAGATGACGCCCTGGACCGATGTGGACACGATCAGCTCGGAAACGCCCATCAGCCCATCGGTCTTCTCACCTTAAAATAAACAGGAACACTGAAGTTAAGAACTAATTCCTAGGTGTTTTTTAGGGTGGAAGCCTCTGACACCCACAGACCAACTCTTACCCAGGAGGCCTCCAAACGTGATGGCCGGAGAGAGGGCAGCGAAGTAGATGAAGATCACAGCGGCCATGCACTGACTGTTGAGAGCATCCTTGAAGTCGCTGACGTACTTCGGGTAACGTCGCCTCACGTCTCGCCCCAGGCCGCCAAAGGGTCGACCTGTACGCTGCAGAGGGTCGTCGGGCTCCTTCCTAGGGGCCAGGAGAGCCTCTGCAAAAACAAAAATAAACAATAAAAAAATGCAATAAAAAAACAAAAACAACTTTTCTTTTTTTTTACAGTGAGATTTTTTTCCACCTTTTTCCTCGAGGCTTTTCAGCTCTTTGATCTCCCGCTCCTCCCGCTTGCGCAACATCTCGCGCTGGAAGCGAGCGACAGATCGCAGCAGCTCGTCGTCGCCCATCTCGGACGGCGGCAGCACGATGCTGCAGTCAAGGAAGCTGTTGATGGCGTTAAGCAGATCCTGCCTGTCGTCCGCTAGATAGGCTGCTTCGTGGAATTGCTGTGTAAAGATTCACACACAGGTGGAGTGTTTAGAACTGCAGGGAATTGCTGTGTAAAGATTCACACACAGGAGTGAGTGTTTAGAACTGCAGGTTCAAGTTTGGACACCTGTTAGCATCAGTTAGCGTTGAATTTGTTATTTGAATAACGTCTATACATTTTTATGCAAGTTCCACCTCGTTTTGGAAATTTTGCTTTTTTTCTTTTCTCAATCTGTTGATAAACTGTTTACCTGAACTGGTATAAAATTTTAAAATACACTGTTAGCTAGAATACAAGAAACAAACAAACCGTAATTTTCTGTTTTGCTAGGACTTTAGCTGTCGCTAAATAGCTAGATTGAATTAAAAGTTATGGCTTCAGGCGACATCTTTGTTTTTGGACGTCTCTTCATAGGTGGTCCCGGTCTATTAATATACTACCTTTGGCCCACATCACATTCATGTCATATATTAGCTTAAATATATATATTAATATATGCCGGGTTTGGACCAGGAATATTGTACTGCCTGAAAAAGCCTGGATGAAAGTCCAGACTTTTTTCCCAGACAGTGACTGTGTCACGCCCAGACTTCAAAGACAACCTGGAATATCTGCTTCACTCACTTTGTCGGACATGAGCGTGGAGATGGAGCGACCGATCTGGTGGTAGTCCATGCTGGTGGTGGGGGGTCCCAGCAGAACAAAGAGGAACCTGACAGGAACAGGAACCTCCAGAACGCTCTCCAGCTCCACCGCCTCCTGCAGACGAACAAACGCCATGGTGGGCTGCTCCAGGAAGTCCACGCTTCCTAAAACACATCATCAAAGGTGAAGGAATGTCAGCGATTCAGAGCTGTGTATCTGTGCGGCAAACACCAGGTGAACGGCGCTTGTTTCTGTGGCAGAACTCACCCACGAGGACCACAGTGGCCTCCGCATTTTCAGGAATCTTCTCCAGCAGCTTTAGCTCATGTTTGGATTTGGAACGAGGAATTCCAGGCACCAAGGTCGGCTCCTTCTGCTGCGAACGGAAAGGACACGAAACGTTAAAACCAAAACAAAAACAAAAGTTTTGAAAATAAAGCTGAGCCCCAGACTTACTTGGACCTCGTTCTTCTCCATGTCGATCCGCGTGTCGACGTCTCCCGGGGCGAGGATGGTGCTCATGAGTGGGTCCGTCACTGACGGCTCTGCCGGGTGGCTGTGGTTGGCATTATGGTGGTGTGTGATCAGGCTGCCCAGGCTGGCTGCTGAGATGTTTCTGGGAAAAGGGCTGCTGTGCTCTTTCTCATCACTCGGGTGACTGGGGGGGAGAGAGGAGAGGGGTCGGGGGGCAGAGAGAGGGTGAGGAGAAGGAGGAAGAGAGGCAGGGACCAGGTTTGAAGCACCCTTGTTGCAGGAAGTGTGCAGCAGGAAATAGCTGCTGGACCTTTGTTTAAATCTCTCATCGGCAGCAGCGGAAATAAATGATGTGGAAATCACTTCAACCGCGAGGTAAACAGAGAAGATCTAGATACAGTCCAGCTCTGACTGACCCATGAATGTCTGTTTATGACGATTAATGCACAGCATTGAGGCTTGGCCCATGGACACACTGGCATACAGACTAGAGAAATGAGTGATTTTTTTTTCTGGTGACATTTTAAAAATCTCTAAGTTTTAGAAAATTCTAATCTTTCATTTGTTCTGCAGTCATTTTGACTCAACGCTGCTTCAATATCGTTTGTTTGTCGTACGTCTGTCATTGAAACTTCTCAGCTTGAATGAAAACACCTGTACAAACACAGGGTTTGTAATGAAGAGAGGAAACATTTTCAAAGATCTGTCTGTGATCAGGTGAAACTCCCTCATCGTGACGGTGATCACTCACCTGTGTTTCAGCAGCAGAGCCCTCAGGACGTTGGCTCTGTCTTCAGCTTTGATCTGGTCAGAGATGATCATCTTCTCCACCACCTGGTGGGCGATCCCAGGCAGGGTCTTCTGGTCCAGGTCCAGCAGCACCGCACCTGAGACACACAGTTCATGTTAGTGTTGATGTTTGCTGTTAGCAAGATAGCTGCGAAAACTCTCTAACGTCAGCTTTGGTGATTCACTCTGCGAAAACTCTCTAACGTCAGCTTTGATGATTGACTCTAAACTTGGTGGGGGTTTTTTTTCCACCTACCATGTGAGATGGTCTTTCTGAGCTCCAGCAAACTGCGGAAAGACAGCGAAGCCACGTGAGGCTTGCCCCAGCGGTCCGTCTCCTCCTCCACGTCCTCCTCAAACTTGATCCAACGAGCCGTCTCCTTCCATTGCATCTCCTGGTTCTTGTCTATGGTGAGCTCGTTCAGCTCCACAAACACCTGTGAACACCACGCAGGAACGAGATCACGTAGGTTAGACAACGATGACAAAAAACACCGGTTCAGAACAGAGAGCAAACGGCGAGCCTGACGGTCAGAATCCAGCAGACGTTCGGCTATCGTGATTAACAGAAGGTTTACAGTGGTCCCTCGTCTATCGCTGTGGTTACAGGTGGGAAAACCGCAAAGTAGAAACACAATAGTTATTATATTATTTACGTATATATTAACCCTTTAGAGGGCATGGTGAACTATGGCAAAAAAAACTTTCACAAATCTCGTTTATTCGTACGTACAGGTTATTTCTTGCAATATCCTGTATTTATGTGTTACAAAATTACAATTTTAATTAATTTCTTTCACAATTTTTTTCTGTTTTTTTCATCATGAAAATAATAAAAATATTGAAAATTTGAAAAAAAATTTTATATACCGCAAAAATTTGCTTGGGCAAAAAATCCGCAATACAAGTATACATTTAAAATATTAAAAACTTGTGATGCACTGAGGGCACGACAGCTGAACCGTGATACAACGAGGGACGACTGTGTATCACTTCACTTCACACACACCGAGGGGTTAACCCAGGTTAACAGATATCTGACTACAATACACATGTACAAATGCAGATAAACCTCTGTTACCCTCCTCCCACCCTCTCTGGGGCAAACATCTGTTGACAAGTTATAAAATAAACACCATGCTTGTCAGTCACACTGCTGTGTGAAACAAGAGCAACCACAAAAAAAAAAATCCTCATTTCGTTGTCAAGTGCCATGCCTGTGAAATCACTCCCACACGGGCCAGACCTGACGGCGGGCCAGGTGCCCAGCCTCACCTTCTGGTACCGAGCCATTTGCCCCAGGGTGTCCAGCAGATAGCCCTCAGGCCGCGAGGCAGAGCGGTACAGAGTGACCGGTAACGGCTGGAGGAGCGAGACACGGTGCAGGAGAGAACTCAGACACCGTCACAGTGGATTTGACCCTCAGGTCCAAAGACACACCCACAGGTGAGTCTCAGACACACACACACACACACACACTCCTGACAGGGCCTGTTGTCTCCTCAGGCTGCCAGGGGGTCACGGTACTGTATGAGAGTGTGTGTGTGTGTGTGAGTGTGTGTTAATAAAACATGGATCTCCCAGTGTCTGGTTTCCTCCGCTCCTCTCTGCGTTTTTGTCCTCTCCATGTGTGAAAGAAAAGAACTCATTCATTCATTTTTAATTCTGCCCTTCCCACCCTGTCACATCCAACAAGAGGAAGAGCGCTCCGATAAATACAACTGGGGGGGGGGATATTTTCCAGGATAAAAACCGAAAAGGTCAAATAAAAATGACACAAATGAAAATACAACTGGATTATAGCTTTTTTTCTGCTATAAGGAGAGTAAAAAATGTAAAAAAGAAACCAAAACTATCGGTTGTATTATTAAAAAATTGGCAGGGTCAGGCCCTTAGATAATGAGAAAGAATAATTTAAAAAATTGGCAGGGTCAGGCCCTTACTAGATAGAAATAATGAGAAAGAATAATAAAAAAAAGCTTGTTTTTGTATGAAAAAAGCTAATTTGAATACCTGAAAGAAAAGTTTCTAAATAATAATAATAATAATAATAAAAATAATACATTATTTGTCCAACAATGGGATAATTTACAAAAAAAAGAAAATAGTGCAACAGACACAGGCTGCCACAGGAGGCGCCATTTCTGTGACACTGTATGTAATTCCCCTGGGAATCAAACCTATGACTCTCTGCAAGGCAGGCAAGCTAACGCTGTGCTAACAGCTATACTCACTAACGTAGGCATTTATAAAGCAGCTGTAAAGAGAAAAAAAATCGTCACGATCTCCTGAAAGAAAAGTTTCTAAATAATAATCTAAATTCTAAAAATTAAAAAAATATTTTTTAATTAAAATTCTAACAGAAAATTATTTTTCTGCCATCTTTATTACTGAAGATGTAACTTTTTGTCGCATCACTAGAGGTCGCTAGAGCAGGTTAAGTTTTTACACTGGATATCCTCACTGTCACAAACCAGACCCAAAATTACAGCAGAGGTGGAATCAAACCCTCCCACTGCACCCCTCTAGTGGCCTGAGCAGGATTTTCACCCTGCAACATGTTTTAAAATGACCACAACAAAAAGACAAACGTCAACACGGATGGAAAGAAAGGTGGCGTCACTGTTCACCTCGTGTGGCGTTCGGTCCTGCTTGCGGGAGCGGAGGGTGGGCTCCTTGTGGTCTTTACCCGTGTGGACAATCTGACCCTTGGTGCTCTTCCTGACCAGGTGTCGGCGCATCCCGGGAACATCCTCAAAACGATGACCTGGAGGAGAGCGGAGGACAGAAGAACTGATGAGACAAAGAACCTGTTTTATAAACTCGCTAGGAAGTTCAGACTTCTTGTATTTCAGAGGCTACTTTTTTTTCTTTTTTTCTTTTTTTGCGATGTCAGAGCAGAGACTACAGTTTCTACTGTTGGCAGGCGGTGGAAAAGGATGCTGGGAAAGACACCGAATGACTCAGAACCGACCTTTCACTGTGAGTAGGCAGGTTTTCTGAAAGGTGTGACAACTGCAAAGGTCGACGGATCGGTGTACACTCAACGATAAATGTGAGGAGGGGTGAGGGGAGGACTACGGCGCTCCACCTCAGCCTCTTACCTTCACAGGTCCCTGGTACAGGACGAATGGTGAAGCTTTTACAGGTCTCCATCAATCCTTAAAAAAACCCAGTTGATTCACAGCAACAAGTCTAAACTTCTGACTTTTCCCTGATATCACACTCTACTCTCTCTCTCTCTCTACTTTCATCGGTCCTACTGGTCTCTGAGTCCAGAGCGGTGGAGATCCAGGACTTAAATAGACTGTGACAGACCTGCGCTGGAGAAGGAGGGTTTGAGTGAAATCACGCGTTGGATTAAAGTAGTAGTTTTGGCAAGAATGTTTCATTAGTGCTTCAGTTTTGAAGGGGTGAAAAAAAAATCAGTTCCTTCACCGGCATCTGACCCCACCAAGGACTGGACCAATCAGACAGCACCAACAGAGCGGCTTTAAGTTCTTCTTTTGTTGTTCCCTGGACGGTTTTACAATCGCAGGAAGCCGATAGAAGAAGAAGAAGACGGACTTTCAACCAATCACGAACCCGCTGAACATTTTGTCAGTTATAGTTTGTGATGATACTCTTTCGGAGCAAAAATAGATCAAAACCTTCAAGTTTCACGCTGTTAGATTTTTTTTGGAACCGGGAGAAGTTTTATCAAACAATCACAGCTGGTGGTCTCAGTTCAAAGCACATCCTCCTGTGTCAGTGGCTAAACAAAAAAAAAAAACCCTAAACTGTCCCTTTAATCCTGCTGTTTAACTCTACAGTTCAACTGTTAGCAACCACTCTGGTCTGGGCCTGAGTCCAGAGACCTCTGCTGGAGGCAGGAACAGCTAATGTGATTACAGTGGTGGGACACGGTCTCTGCTCAGGGGTCAAGTCTCTGACGTAGGAGACACCAACATTTTTACACTCACTTTTGATGCCGTCCAGATCGGCGGAGGCCAGAGTCTGAGCCTCGGTCTCGTCCGTGGGGATGGCCCGGTACTTGGCTTGTTCAGCGCCCGTCATGTTGCCCGTACGACGGCGTTCCTGTAGGTCGTAGCCCCGGCTGGAGACGCGGGTTAGTTGAGGGTGAGCAGGTGGCACCGTCAGGAAGATGGGACTGGAAGGAACGGATTTACTGGAGGAGAAAAAAAAGGAAAAAAAATCTTTAAACCAAAGTAAGTTTTTTATCTTATTATTAATGGGACTGGAAGGAACGGATTTACTGGAAGAGGAAAAAAAAGGAAAAAAAACTTTAGTTTTTTATCTTATTATTAGATTATTTTTAAGCTTTTCATAAACAGATGATAACGAGGGAAGATTTGAACATTTTTTACCTAGAATTCTCCCTTTTTAAGTCCAGAATTTGTCAGTTTTTATCTCAGAATTGTGAGATTTAATTCAATTTAAATGAAAAAATCTAACTCTTTCTAAATCAAAATGTTACTTTTTTTAAAATTTTTTTTTATCTCAGAATTGTGAGATTTAATGCAATTTAAATGAAAGAAATCTAACTCTTTCTAAATCGAAATTTTACTTTTTTTTAAAATATTTGTTTTTTCTTAGAACTCAGGTTAAAAATTCAGAATTTGATTAAGTGTGAAAAAAATCTCTTTTTCACCCTCACATGTGACATAATATAAATATATATATATAATAAACACATATACATGTACATATATGTGTGTATATGTACATATATACACATATATACACATAAATACATACATAAACTATGTATATAAATGTTAATATGCATATAATGTGAATACTGTATGTCCATATACACACACACATATATCAACATATAAATACATATAAAATAGATATAAAAACTCCAAGCTCCACTGATTCTTCATCAGGACAAATCTCCTCTTTCCAGATTCATAACAAACTCACCTAGAATCTCCTCAGAATCAGATATTTTTCCAAAAATTGTCTTTCAAAAAACCTTCAGCGCTTCAAGTGCTTTCCTGCGGCGGCAGCGGCGACTGTGTGAGTTTGTCACTGCCGTTTTACCTCAGCTCTGATTAAACCCTGCTGCAGTCGGCGACTAAATGTCAAAGGTGAGGTGTTGCTGTGTGGAGCCACAGGTGAATTATGGAGCTGTGAGGACAACAATACCGTGATCTCAGCACGACCACTGGATGCCTGAGTCATGGTAACGTACAGAGTGTACCTGGCTGGACGCTGGTGTGGACGCTGGTGTGGACGAGTGGACAAACGCTCTGTAATCTACTGTATGTTGTGTAACAACAGCAGGTCACACTGTGTTTTAACCAGATTCACTCCAGGACGGAGACTGAACTCACTCTGTCAACGACACGTCCTCAGCGTCAACTCTGTCTCCAGTCTGCGGAGTCACGTCCTGTTCTTTGGTCACGTGGTCGTCCTCAGAGAGAAAGAACTGTGGAGGAGAAAAAAACGACACCAAACTTAAGATCTATCTGCGGTCGCCGCACGTCACGTCATCATAACAACCGTCACACACGAAACCCACTGATGAATAATAAAGAGAGCTCTGAATTACTTATAAGGGAAAATATGTCAGAGATGTTACAGCTGTAACACATTCTTCAGGCCCTGCAGCAACACCTACTTCAACCACAAATCATCTACATGAGGACATGTCCTTCACTTCCTCATTTTCTTACAAACCAATATATTGTAGGAATATGTAGCGTGCAAATTAAATACACTGGAAATACAAACAAAAGGACACAAACTATATCTGTACATTAGATCAAATTTAAACCTCTCTCTGACAGTATTTAATAGATAGATTATATAATACAATACATACATATATATGTATACATATCGATATATATATATATAGTATATTCATATATATGTACGTATATATTTGTGAATATATATTTATATATATTAACATATGTATGAACATACATACATCCATACTGTATATACATGTATATAAATGGATACATACTTGTAAATATATACATACAAACATATATTCATATATATATATTTGTATATATTTATGAAGATATATATGTATGCATATGTATACATATATGTTTATATATAAACATACAACTATGATAAACATATATACATAACCAGCATTATTAAAATTGAAGGTTTAATAAATGAGTTGAGTGAAAACATAATCTGGATTAATTTAGTTATCTAGTATAAAAATAAATAATTTTTTTAATTTAAAATTCGCTCAGTCTTTACTGTAAACAAAACAATATTATATTCCAAGACCACTGAGAGCCAGATGATTACCTCCACATCTTTGACTTTCTCAGGCTCAGAGGGAGCTGAGGTCATCTCCGTCCCCTCCTCTTCCTCCTCCTCCTCATCCTCCCCTTCCTCGATGGGACCACTAGTGGGAGCATGGCTGCTTTTGTGGTCCCTGTCCTTCTTCCTCTTTTTGCTGCCCTTCTTCCTGCGACCTTCCGGAAGCATCTTGGCCAGAGGTCGGTGGATGTGGTGCGAGGAGTGACGGTGGTCTGCAGGGGGAGACAGACTGGTTAGTCGGTTACCGACAGTACGTCTGTGTACAATCACAGCTGCGATGCTTCTGTCTGTTTACATTCGATGTCCTCTTCATGGTAGGTGTGGTGCTGCTCGTCAGGTATGACCGCAGACGGGCTCAGGATCTGCTGGAAGCGCTGGACCCCCAGGGCTTTGTTCAGGTCCCCGTCATCCTCTTCTTCTGAGCGTGACGCCCCGGTCAGAGACGAGGCGACAGGAGCCTCAGGCTGGGGAAAACAAAACAAAACAAAAAACAATCAGGCTGAAAATGTAGTATAACAAATATATTGATTGTGTTCAACGGTCGTACATAAAATCTGAATCTAAATCACCATGACCATGCAATAAACACATCGAGTTCACTTGCTGAACATTACAAATGAGCTACATGGACACTAGAGGGCACTGTAGCGCTGTGCAAAACAGTAAGAACAGCAGAGAGTAGCCATCGGCTCACATTCCTGACAATGAGCTTGAAATTGTCAACAATAGGCGTGAGGTTTGATCAGTTCCTCTGTTTCTCCGTGCAGCGGTGTGACCCAGGTCACGTGGGCCACATCTGATCTGTTTCTTCTCTCCGCAAGACTCGCCATCCAGCTGTGTGAGCTCTGCTGCAGGAGGTGTTGTGATAAGGATGTTCTGGTGTGTTCTAGACCTAACCTCCTGCAGTGAATCTCTGCTGTTAGCAATACTGGGAGGTTACAGGTCATGTGACGCTGCCTCCGGTGGTTCCCAGGGCAGATGAAGCAGCAAAAACCAATTTTTAAAAGTCTTAAAACTTTAGAATGACACATTATTGATTACAGATTCATCATCAATTAAATATCAGTTTATATCCTGTTAACTCTTGTTTTGGGTCAGAGGTCTTGCAACATATGAAAAAACCCACACCCCAGTGGCTGAAAGTGTGAACTGCAACTCACTGGTTAGGTCCCAATTATTTCCTAGGACTGTGAAGGCATCACTGACTTTTACTGTGCCTGTGATGAGCATGTTGATATATTGGACGGGGAATTGGTGATAAAAAAAAAATACTGATAGAATAGTGTAGAATATTGATATGATCTTGTGAAGCTAAATATTGTGATATATATTGGTGTGTCGATATTTTACACTCATAGTATACGTTGGTGTCTTTTTTAAATACCTGAAAGTTCAGTTCAGGTTACAGGAGAGCTGTGTGAGAGCGTGAGCTCAGAGGAAAAGTTGGGAATAATTGCAGGAACTGCACTGTTGTTTAAACAGGAATATTTCCATCTTGCGATCTCTGTGTTCAAATCAATAGTTTTGTCTTGTTGAGGGTTACAAATGTGGACATGGAAAAATTCAAATAATACCTAAAAAATGTTACTAAAATGGCAGTAGTTGAACTTTGTCATGTGACCGACTGTAAAAAAACCATTGTGACCATTTAATGTGTATAAAATGATGCGTTGCTGTGAAAAATCTAATTCTGTTCAATAGAAAAACACAGCAGCTAAAGCAAGCATTTCATATGTGTGGAGTACAAAAATGATGTTAATTTAATGAGATCTTAATGCACTGAACGGAGTCGAGATCAAATCTGGAGCTAAGACACGAGACACTCCGATTCTGCCAACGTTGACCAACGTGATTCTGCACGTGACACAAACCGACCGTCACCGTGTCACATCGAAATCTCCGGACTGTTTCTTTATCAATGCTCCAAGCATGAAAAACTCTTTCCTGACACTTAACACTCAACAGTCACCGCAACAGGGAATGTCCGAGGAAAGTGTGAAAAACCGACTCCCATGACCTACGCTGCTGCGCAATTTTTCATTTTTTTTTTTCTTTCTTTCCACTCTGACCTGATTTTAAAATGCAACACGCAGGTGATGAAAAAAGAAGAAAATAAATACACTTAAAAAAAAAAAAAACACACATTCAATGTTGACCTAAGGTTCAATTCCTCATCGACCTTTCGTTCTGACAACACGCCCAACAACGAGGCTCAAAAGGAGAAGTGAGAAAACCAGAGTGACCTGAAGGAAACAAACACCAAGGACAATGCAGCAGTTTAACATCCAGATAACAGTGAGCCCTGATCTGACCTGTGACCTCGGATCTGGAACATTCTGATATTTTTATTTTAATTAACAAAACTTTCCTAGGAGAATAATAAAATAACAATAAGTC